ATTTCTTAGAAATAGCAGTTACTTGAATAAAAACATACCAAAACTTTTAACTGTAATGATGAACGAATATATTCAAATGCATCCACTAATTGTAAAGCAGATATTGAAAAATTGATTAGTTGAATGTAAATATTTTTTTTGGTGTCTAATTACATATATGCAAGATCAGATTGGTTTTCTTTTTTCATATAAATTTCAAGAATAGCTGGCTATTAATAAGGCATAACCTTAGTAGAATCCACATATGGTGTTTTTATGTACATAAGTAGTTACTGCCCATGTCCTATACTATTTATTAATAGTACAAGGCGAGGTCCATTCACTGCCTAGTACCACCCTACGTGTTATCTACCTAGGTGGTAGGAAGCTATGAAAACACGTTACATTATATTTTATTATATCCTCTCAGATGTGTATTTCATCATTTTCCCACAAGAAAACCAATTATTTCATCATATCTGGTTTATTCTAATCTCTTATAAATTTTAGAAACTTACATGCTGATTTAATTCATCGCCGGTTCCAAACCAATGGAGCCTCTCTAATCTTTCATTATCATTTACATCTATAATATTTAATGAATGATTCAACGTCTTAATAAAATTTTCCCTCTCTTTATCACAATCTCCTGTCCATTCACCAGACTCTACCCATTTATAAATTGCAGTAAATATGTTTATAGCTGAAACTGGTGAAAAAGAAACTAAAAATGCTTCCATTTTCTTGATTGAAAAAAAAGATATGAATGCTGAGTTAATAGATTTTCAGATTAATAACAAAATTGCAAATAAAAAGCAATAAATATTTATAACTCGATATACTGTCTTTTTAAAACGTATTCCTTCCACATATTCCTCTAGATTTATCAAATGAAACAATTCAGAAATATAGAATGTGTTTACGCCAAAAAAAAATTCTCACAAAGAAAATAAATGTACATGAGGCAATTAATTGAATTAGGTTAATCACACAAATAAACATGCATGCATATAAAAATAATTTCGTTGTACAGCCCCATTGATATCATGTAACATATTGATTAAATTATCTGATCGATTATGCGGATAGACTATCAATTTGAATTTCTTCTTTACGATTAGAAAAATATGAAAAAGGTGCTCAACTATTTTATACCTGCATTTAAGAAAGTCCCATAGAATATGCAGAGCATAGAGTCATTGACTCATATATTTTTTGCATAGGAAGGCTACTCACATAGCATGGATTTCCCTCTGATTTTTGCAAAATATGGTCAAGAATACATAGAAGATAAGTATATTTAAAAAGAGTTGTGAAGAATCAGGGTCAGTGATTGAATGAGAGGCTTCTAACTCACACATCTAAAAATTTCGCAAAGATCAAAATATATATGATAAAGCATGAGCTCAGGTTCACAGGCGCAGTAGGTGACACAGTAGGACCACCTACTTATCAAATTTAATAAATGCGTTCACAATAATAACAGTTGTCGCAATGGAAGTTTGGTTACCAGTGGAAGACTTACTAGTTTCCAATATTGGGCGCATCAAGAACAAAAAAGGTATAATTTTAAGACCAGGTGTTTGCAAGAGGTCTGGTTATGTACCAACAGTTTTTAGGATTAATGTATACGTAAACATACCCGTGTTCACATTTTAGTTGCACGAGCCTTTGTTCCTAATCCAAAAAATAAGCCTTACGTTAACCACATTAATGGAATCAAACATGATAATCGGGCTGTTAATTTGGAATGGGTAACTCCTAAAGAGAATGCTGAACGTAAGGTATTCCCAAACCGTGGTCGTGGTAATTCTAGGTGGACCGTATAGAAAACATTAGATGGGGAAGTTATTCAGATTTGGAATTCTATTTGCCTCGCTGGTAATACGCTTAAAATTGCAGAAAATAGCATTTCGGAATGTTGTAGTGGAAAGCGAAATACCGCCGGTGGCTGGTGTTGGATATATTATGAAAATTATATACCACAGGACCCTAACGAAGAATGGAGAGAAATAGAATATAAATTACGAAAGTTCAAAGTTTCATCTCTAGGGAGAATTCGGTTAACGAATGGTGCAATCACCCAAGGATCATTATACAAAGGATATTTTTGATTCAACCAATGTTATATTCACCACTTGGTAGCATTAGCGTTTTGTTCAAAAGAAGAAGGCAAAGATTGTGTAAATCATATTGATGGTAATCGTACCAACAATAAAGCATCCAATCTTGAATGGTGCACACAAAAGGAAAATACCCAACATGCCGTGTACCTTAAGCTTTGGGTCACTGTCGCAAACATGCCATCAAGCAGATTTTCGATGATGGATCTTTCCGAGAATTTCCATCCTTAGCTGAAGCACAACGCATGACTGGAATTAAAAGTCAAAATATTGGACTAGTATGTCGAGGACTTCAAGCTCATGCTGGAGGATATCGTTGGGAGTATGTAAGCACAATATCGCATAATAATCATGATTTTTCACAGTAACTTAGACCCGGATATTGCACGAAATTTATTTTTATTTGTAACACTTCACAAATCAAATGAGACATAACTTGTCTGTGATATATGTACGATATTTGCGGGAAATTGTGGAAATTATTAGTTAAGATGTGAGAAATACCATCTTCGCAGTCAAGTATCTCAAAGCTAAAGCAAAACACTATGATACCGATCTTTGAATCGTGACCACCGGAATAGCTAAGCTAGACCTACTTACAGATTATTTCAGAGGAAGGCATTCCGTAGTTAACTCTGTAGGAAATTGAATAAAACTTTACGGTTAAAAGTTAAAACTGGCCGCGGTATAAAAAAACGGTACGATCATTTGTCATATAATAAATTTCATTTTGTCAAAGGATTAGAATAAAAATCGAGCCATTTTATTATCTCAAATTGCAAATTAACTAACTAAATCACATGAATAAAAAATTACATTATTTTCGAAATGGGAATCTCACATCATGTGTGTGATCAGAATAAAGAGATACTAGTCAAACACGGATAACACAAAAAAAGAAGCTCATTTAATATTTATGCAAACATTGACATTAAACCAGAGGGTTCATGATTTTCGTAATCATCACTAAAAGCTGATATGTACTGTTGTATAATGGGTTTCTCATCCATACGAACCAATTTTTCAAGCATCTTTAATTCCCACCTCATTTTCATACGAAATAATTCATCTTCTGTCATATCCGGAATCATATCCAACATTCTCTCATCACAAAATATAACAGCTTCTCTGAACTTCGCCTTTTTTGATAATGGTCCTTCAATATTTATAATTTTTTCTGAACTCTCTCTCTTATTCATTCCTATAATGTTATCTAATTTGCTTCCCTGTTCTAAAACAAAATGTTTGATTATACTTAATGCCTTGCCACGGTCATCAATTACTGCAGTTACAATGTAATATTGCTCGACTGGATTTTCAACTTTGGTTATGAAAAAGATAGTCCACTTTTCGTTGCAATCTGTCAATACAATCAATACATCTAACGCAACGTTTGCATTTGCGATAAGTAATTCTCCTTTAGCTTGAGATTCTTCTAAAATTAATAATCCTTGGAGTGACTTCTTTGTTTCTACATAGACGCATCCTGTTAGACTTGGGCAAATGCAAATATCAGTTCCACACTGTAATATAGTACGAGCTTTA